TCTCAGATCGGATTTCAAGCCAGGTCGTCGGGAATGTGTCAGTCCAGAAGATTCCTTTTGAGATTTCTGAATCAGAAGTTTTTACAAGGAGATTGGCCTTGCACTCAACCCCTAACCTGAAGAGCCAGGCCTTCAAATTTATAAACGCCCTGGAGGCAGGGGTGCCCAGCTGTAGCCCCGGACACTGGGTGCCTATTTTTGTCGCCTTTTACGACATGTGTGAGCTACATTGGGATTATTCTTTTACACCCGGTGACCACACAAGTGCATTTAATATACAGTTGTTGAAAATATAGGCACAAAGCTTAATTAATGATATGTTGTGTTGAAAAAATAGTACTGTTCTGTTATTGCGACCATAGCCATATGTTTTGCTAAACATATGGCTATGGTCGCATTTTGCTAAAGTCATAGACATACGTTTTGCTAAACTCATCAAGAGAAGTGAATATAAAGTCGTAAGTGTTTGCTTCTAAAGTTGTTACAAACTTTTTTTTTAAAAAAGTAAAAGAATTCGAGAATACAAATTCTAAAGCTGTGATGGTAACTTGTGTTTTTATTTTTATTGTATTCACCGTGGATATGAAAATTTGGGTCTTATCTAATGATGAAACAACTTCCAAAAAATTTCTTCAGTAATGAGGAATTATTCACTCAGAAAGTGCTCAAAAATCCATAAAATGAAATTTTACTTCAATTCGAAGAAAGCGCTGGAAATGAGATGGGAAGACATGAATGTGCTGAGGGAAAAAAAAGATTATACAGTCAAAAGTCGTTAATCCGGACTCGTCGGGACTTCAGCGATTCGGGATTATAGATCGTCAGTTTAAATCTGGTAAGATGGCATGCAGAAATAACAAAATTAAAAATATGAAACTGTAATTTATTAAATAAAGAACAATTATGATCTAAAAGGGTATCAAAATTTACAAAAAGGAAAAGCTTAATATTTATTTGTTTACTTTATTAAACATTTCTTTCAATGTAAGTTGTTTAAGTTGCTTCGTTTCATGTGATAATACTTTCCCTTTAATTCTATTAAACAGACATAATTTCTTCCTCAGTTACAAAGTTCCGCTGTTCAAGTCCTATTATTGCTGAGTCGAGAATACCGACTAATTTGTCAATCGAAATTTTTTTCGTTTTCAATAACCTCTGCGTCACTTTCTTCACTATCGGAAGCAAATTATAATGACGAGGAACTTCATTTAAATCATATCAAAGACGGAGTACATCGAGATGAAATACTACATTTAGTAAGGAATTATAAGCCAAATAAAATAAAAACATCTGCCCTGAAGATAAGGATAGTGCTGACAGATCAACTTCCAATTCATTGTTCGCCGCGTCGTTTCCCTCCCCCCGCAGAGCAGCGTGAAATTGATAAACAGATTTCGGATTTCGAAACATACTTTCACATTGTAGATCCTTTACATATTAGTAAATATATATCGGAAATTCTATTTGACATAATCGAAAGTTCAAGCTTACTTTTATAAAATTGCTCTGACAGGTCTGCAAAAAATAATAATCCGGATCCAATTTGAAGATTAAGGAACAGCGCGATCTGCAACATTAACGGAATTAGATAATTTTAGCTTAGCTTTTACTGTCCGTTATACATTAAATGCACATGCGTAAACATGTTATGCGCATGCGCACATGCATATTCACAGCCGTAAAGGTCTTACACGCATGCGTAAACGCCTATGCGACGCATGCACAGAAAGTTTGTAGCTTTGAGATCCGGATTATGGGTGTCCGAATTAACGACTTCTGACTGTATTCTTGAAATTGGTTTGAAAGATAGAAAATCAGTTTCTTAATGACAGTTCATTTCATTTATTGGTATTTAGAATCCTGCGAATTTGGTCAATATGAACCTGATATGAATCATTGCACTGTTGTTGATTGGAACGGTGCATAAGGGAAATCTGTTGTGACCATCAATTAAAGTAGGTGGCACTGGTAATATTGTCGAAGTTCAAGAAAGTCTGCTTTTGCTTCAAAAAATGATGTTGGTCGTATCCTCATTCCCTAGTGGGTGTATGGTGGAATTTGCCGACGAGCAAAACAATGTTTTTTAGTTGCTGCCTAACAGCTGTGCTAGAACTTTGCTTAAAGTTATTAAAGAAAATATTATTGATGGCAGTATAATATACTGAGACTGCTGAAAGGGTATAACACTGAAGAATTAACAGAAGCCAGATTGAACCTTTCAGAATTAACCATAAATGCAGTGCAAAGTCCGAGATCCAGATGTCCAATATCCGGAATGATCTAAAATCCAGACCTTAAAGCCACCAATAAAAATTTTTTAATGCTTTACTCATGCACATTTGATTTTTTACCCCGTAAGAAAGTATGTGGGGAATCCCGATTTTTAATTTCACTTTGGTACTGAAAAAAATACTTTGTTAGTGAAGAAATAATCATTTTTGCATAAATTTGTGTGATCAATAATTTGGCTCTGCAGCTGCATATCTGCTTTTTCAATTAATGGATTTTGTAAGGAAATGTGGAGAAGCCGTAATAAGTGATGTGAGAAGTTTTTCATTGCGATGGCAATGTTCCAATCATCCATGAATTAACGGACGGCGAAACCTGTAGTATGGTTCTAGATCCAGAAGATACCATTACCAATAGTGAAGAAAGCAACTAGAAGGTGTTGAAAACAAAAAAATTTCGATTGACAAGTTAGTCAGAATTCTCAATGCAGCAACTGCAGGACTTGAACTGTGGAACTTTGTAACTGAACAAGAAATTATGTCTATCTACAGAGTAGATATAGATTCTGAGAAGAAAGTATAAGCACAAAAAATGAAGCAACTTAAACAATTTGCATTGAAAGAAAGGTTTAATAAAGTAAACAGAAAAATATAAAGCTTTTTTTTTTTTTTTTTTTTTTTTTGGTAAATTTTGATACTCTTTAAATCATAGATGCTTCATTAGTTCATGAATCATGATTTCATATTTTTAATTTTATAATTTCTGCATGTCATCTCACTAGATTTAAACTGATGATCTAATATCCAGAAAAATCCCAAATCCAGAATCGCCGAAGTCCCGACGAGTCTGGATCTCGGACTTCGCAGTGTATTAACTTTATCGATTTCGATACTAATTGTCATATGTAAACTTTTGAAAGCTTATGGGATCATTCAAAATGGTTAAATAAAAAATAAAAATCAATGCAGCACTAACTGTATCCAATATTTTCATGACTGTGTGTTAATCTTAATTTGCTAAGTGATTTTTTTTTCCTGGATTTCTTTGGCAAGATGTTTAATTTAGATTAAAAAATTTATAATTTTACCAATCTCTGTTATGTTACCTTTTTCCCTTGGATTTTCTTTCAACTTCATACTGTAAATATTTTGGCAGTTATTTTTATGTTTTGTATTTTTCACCAAATCATCAGCTTTTGGCAATATCTGATTCTTGTCCCAGTAACAGAACAGTACCAAAAAAGTTTGGTACTTTCTGGTTATCTGTCAAACCTAAAGTTCCCAGTTGTTGGTGATTAATGTTTTAGTAACCTAAGATGGGGAAGACAACAGCCATTTTCAAAAATAACAGCTCACTAAGAATTGAGTAAAATGCCGCCCAGACGATATAGTGGTTAGGGAAGCCTGACTACACAGCCGAAGGGCCGCATTTGAATCCTGGAGAAGGCATGGATGTAAAATTGAGTGTCCCTTTGTAGGAGGTAACAGTGGCCACCTATTAAGTACCTCCACAATAAAATGGCCACCACTTCTGGCCTTAGGAGTGGCTAGTGCCGTTATAGGCAAGTGCCCACCATTTGGGGGGGGGGAATTACGTAAAACAGCAACTAATTAACAAAATTAAGAGTGCAAAAAACATTCATAATAAAACACTTACTTCTTCTCCTCATGCACACTGCAGTCTGTTTTAGCTTCAAAAAATTTAAGAGAATGGCTGACAAAGCACACATTTTTTTTGGGGGGGAGAGGGGTATTGCATACCCTGCTTTTGTACATAGCAATCTATTTTTGCTTTAATAAAAAGACAAGATTACATAGTTTGTGATATATCTATGCACAAATTTGATCATTTATGAAGTGCAATTTCATGGAATTTGAATTTTTTAATTCTAAATTGTTTAAAATGTCATATTTCGGAAGGAATGTAATCCTTTCTCTTTCATCATCCGGAAAAGTCCTTATTCTCATTATGATTCTGTAGAAGAAAAAAATGCACTAACTCATTTACACTAATCAGAACATGCACTAACAAAAAACAAAAACAAACAAAAAGGAAAAAAAAAAGTCTGTTGATTTTGAAAAGCCGAAATCCACACCATGCACAGCATGTGATTGTGATGCCTGACTAATTCTTTTCAGGATTGGATGTCAGAAAATACCAAAAATCTTCTGTCTTCTTAATTCATCATTTTCAGTCAATTGCATTTTAATTCCGCATATGGAACAACAATTCTAGTTGGAATTTCTACTGTTTTCACACCTAGTCTGCTGAAGATAGATTCAGAAGACTATTACAGATAAATTACATTATTAGCTGAAAATATTAGGTATGCTGCAGACACAGTCAGAGCATTGAAAATATGAATTATCTATACTCAGTACAGATGTATGGTAAATATACATATTGTTATCATTTTAAATCAAGTGGTAATTAAAAACATTAAATTTTGGGGATCATTTAAGTTTACTTGTTTCATAAACTTTCTTTTTAAGTTTCCTTTTTTATGTTTCTTTATGCAATCTAAAGTAAAATTTGGTACTTTCTTGTTGGTAATATGTAATAGAATTATCTTTGAAAATGTATGTTTTTTTATTTTTCAAATTTAAATTATTTTTTAAGTATGAAGCTAATAAAGTTAGTTCTAGTTTGCCTTCAAACTTCTAATATTCCTTTCTTCCACAGATGTATAATTGGTACTTTTTTCAATACCAGCTGTTGGCATATTGTGTATAGGTTTTGTGCTATCCATATTAAACTAGTATCTCTTCTAGGAAAAAATCAAAAAGTAAGAAACAGGTGCGCAGAATGGTTTGTGATTGTACACTTACTAAAGAAGAACAAGAATATGGTGTACTAGGTTGCAAACAAGAATGTTTAAATAGGTTATTAATGATAGAATGGTAAGTTTGAAGAAATGTATGTACCTAATCTGATTTAAAATAACACAACAAATAGCATTGAAGATGGTAAGATGAAAGTTATTTATTTAAGCCTTCAAAACTAGTCCTGCAAATTTATGATTCTTTTTGTCTTACCATCTTCAGTAATGTATATGTCTATTTATATAATACTAGTATCAAAGTTGCATACTTTTTCTATTATTATTTATGTTTTATATTTTATCTTCTACTAAATAAACTATTTTAGTGTGTATATATATACTCCAGATGAATTATTTAAAGAGCATAAAAAGGATAAAGGGAAAAAAAAATTTTGTTACCAAAATCAGATATTGGAAGATCATAAGCCTTATATGGAAATTTATCATTTGCAACCAATTAATCTACAAATATCCATCCATTCATCATGGAAATTTGCCGAAATTTAAAATGGATCTTAATCAAGGCTAATAGGAGGAGGGAGCGCTATTAGGAAGAATAATTAGGAGCTGTTTTGTATCCAATCAATAAAACAAACAAGGCAGAGCAAATAGTTACTAGTAAGCTCCAACAACTTGAATTAGTGAATGTGTGAAATTCGCTACAGTGTGAATTTCATGAAAATGAGACTGTTAGAATTAAATAGTTTAGAATAAATCCAACTTGAAAGTTGAATATATGTTTTGAGATTTGGTAATAAGATTAAACAAAATTAAATAATAAATAAATAATATTTAATAAAGATTAAAGGAAAATGGATCATCATTTTATTCTTTTATTTTACAACATAATTAGATATTTGAAGATCATAAGCGTTATTTGGAAATTTTTCATTTGCACCCAATTACTGTACAAACATTTGTACGTTCATCGTGGAAATTTGAAGAAATTTTAAATGGATTTTAATCAAGGATAAATTTCAGAATAGAGAGTAATAATCCATTGTGGGCAATTTAGACTCTAAAATTTCACCACTTTCAACTTTTAGAATTTGAAAAATTTTGGATTATTGAATGTCAGAGGCAAGGATGTTGGAGGGAAACTATAGTGCATTTAAGTCTTAATTTTGGAATACAAAGACAATTATGGCAATAGGGACGAATACAATTTTCTCCATTAACTATGTAGTAAAAGTTTTAGCAAATAATTTTAGAAGCTATTTTATACTCAACCAATAAAACAAACGTGACAGAGTTATCAGCAAATGGCAAATGATTGTGTTTTATTCAATACACTATTAAGCTTCAGTGAATGAAATAATTGAGTGTGTGAAATTCGCTACAGTGGGAATTGTATGAAATGAGAATGTTAGAGTTAAAAAGTAGAGAGTTAATCCAATGTGAAAGTTAAATATACATTTGAGATTTGGTGATAAGATTAAACAAAATTAAATAATAAGTAGATAATATTCAATTCCATTATTTTATTGTTTTATTTTACAGCATAATTTAAACTTTATTCACCAATGAGCAGGTGAATGGAATAAATCAAATCATAAGATTAATTAAAATACTGGTGAACATAAAATAAGCATTGATTGTCTCGAGTGCATCCATGCCATCTGTACTTTTTTCCCTCTCTCTTCACCTTTTCTATTCAATATATAATGCTGTGATTTTTACTAACCTTTTTCATTATTTCTGTTTATTTTGTTTATTAAAGTGATATATTTGTGACAAACTTGTGTAAACTATTTTTCTGCTTGGAAGTGATCTGTGTTAAATACTTAAAATCTATAATTTATTTCCAGTTCAAACTTGAATTTTAATTAATTTCAAAAATCAAATAGAGAAACTCTTTCATCTGTAATGATCATTCATTTCTAAATAATTTTCAGTTGAAAAAATTTAAACCAATAAATGTTATTTAAAATTTAAACATTGGGTACTTTTGGATTATCCTGTTGATTATTTTCGCCAAACCTGATGTTATTGCCGAAAAGTGGCTTCTGTGCCAATGAGTTAGTTTTCTTTAGCTTGCAGTAGTGTACTGCTTTTTTTACTCCGTTGCAAAATGATTCAAATTTTGGATTTGCCTAACACTGAAGAGAGTGCAGTGTCATATTTTGAAGAGTATGGAATCATTTCTTCTAAGAAAATGTTTGTTAATGGCCATGATACGGCGTTGTATATCAAAACTGATGAGCAAGGGTGGTACAATTGAAAGGTGTGCGATAAGCGAGTAGCTATTCAAAAAGGCATGTTGTAGGAGGGTTGTTTTGATACTTTGTATTATGTATTATTACACTTGCTTTTTTTGTTATTATTTTATTATTATTATTTGATAAATTTAATGTGTTTAGAATCTTTATTTTGGAAATTGCTTCTGATTATGATGGCGCCAAAGGATTCGCGCATTTTCATGAGCATTTACAGGATGGATAATCCCAAAGTACCAAAACATTGTTAACCCTCCAGGCGGCAAGGCCGTATATATGCGTTCGAAAATAATGGCTCTCATAGCGGCAAGGCAGCATATATGCGTCCAAATATTTTAGTTCTCATGGCGGCAAGACAGCATATATACGTAAACCTAAATTTTGGCACGAAACGGCAAAGCAGCATATATACAGCCTGTCTCAGAATGCCCTCCCCTCACTGCTCTTAATGTAAACTGACAGGTGATAATTTTTCTCTGCGGGAGGTAATTGAGGAGAGGAAACTATCTATTCGCTAGGGGCAAATGGGTTTTATCGTTAGGTTTTGAATAACAGTTCGAAATAAATAGCTCGTTCAAAACTTCCAGCTGTTCTGTGCTTATACCAGCTATAGTAAACTTAAATGTTTATATATAAATGTAAAGAGAATTTTCATTTTCCAGCCTAATTATTCTCCAAATTTTAGATGCAGTTTGGCAAAATGTAATTGGAATTAAAATTAAAATTGCAAGAAACTGCAACAATATTTTGAAATATGTGATTTCAATTATATTGCAATTGTAATTAGCTTCGCAAATTACAATTAGAAAGTAAGTACTTTTTAAATGCAACAATAATGTATGTAATTGCATTTTAATTCTTAAGTCTTACAATTACAATGCAATGATAATCACAAACATTATAATTATATAATCTAATTACAATTACAAATTTTATTGCATCTAATCACAACTACGGTAATATTAGCTAATTACAACGTAATTTTAACTGCAATTGCAGTTGGTAATTATAACTACGTAATTAGGAAAGTAATTGTCTCTGATAATTAGAATTACTTAACATAGTGAAATTATGATCATAATTGTAATTCTAAGTGTAGTATGCAATTGTAATAAAATTATGCAATTACTAAGTAGTTATAGTTAAAAAGTAGCTGTTTTTTTTAATTACAATTACAATTTACGTAATTTCATTTAAATTACAATTACTCTATATTTGTGAAATCCAATTTCATATTCAATGCAACTGCAATCATATAATCTAATTACAATTAGACTGTCATTGTAACTCCAGTAAGTAATTATAATAATGTAATTAGGATAGCAATTGTTTCTGATAAAAGCAGTTACGTAGCCCAGGAAAATCATGATCTTAATTGCAAATGTAATTGAAAACACATAGTAATTGGAATAGTATTATGCAATTATCTTGCAATTACAATGTAACAATTTTTAATTACATATACAATTTACTCATATGCATTTTAATTATAATTGCATTTTAATTGTGAAATGTAATTGAATAAATAGTATAACTGTAATTATATAATCTAATAAAAATTACAATGCAATTGTAATGACCTCTTAATTAAAATTGCGCAGCAGATGATTGTAACTATTTAATCAGAAAAACAACTGCCCCTTATAATTTCAGTGACATAGGCTAAGGAAATCGTGATAATATTTGAAAATTACAGTCAATAATATTATATTCGAAATGTTTCTTCTGCATTTTGGATAATGAGTTTTTAAATAATACAACGGGATAATCACCTATAAGAAAAATATTAATATTTTCTGTCATGTCTTCTGAATCATCTTACATATATTGTAGTTTGTGGTACCAGCATAAATAGGAGTTTATTTAAAGGAAATATTTTATATAGACCGAAATGCACATAACGTTAGTAAGCAAATATGTATGTTTATGATCTTCGATATACATGTGAACTTAAATTACAAGATTAAGGGAAAGCAAGCAAAGAGTTTATGCCAGTGCAAAGGGATGTTTTCGCAAAGGATTTGTTACGGGACGCTTGTCTTGTTTACATTACACAAGAAATAAATCATAAAAATTACATTTATCCTTTTCTTTTCAGAAAGGTTTGGTTTGGTTTATTTAATTATGGCAAAGCACACTAGGGCTATCTGCCTATGAGGAGGGATGCCTTCGTGGAGGACTTTCTAAGGGAAACTGGCTCGTATACACGTTACACATGGGGAAAACCACGAAAACAGCCAGCCCGTTCGCGAGATTCGAACCTCGGACCGAACTACCAGTGTTCAGCGACTTTACCGCTCGGCCGCTGGTGGGTCTCTTTTCAGAAAGGAGATCATCAAGGACTAAACTAAGCCTCATAATTTTATCCAACCTATTGCTTTAGCTGGTAAAAAAGGATTCTGATCAGCAATCAGTATGCTTAATTGCTGTGTGTATTAGACATTTTACTAAATCCATTTATTATGAATTACCGCCCAGACAGTAAAGCGGTTCGTGACTCTGGTTGCCGTACCGAAGAGCCTGGGTTCGAATCCCGGATAGGGCATGAATGTAATTTCTTCGTCCTCTTCATAGGTGGCAACGGTGGTCCACGTATTAGTTCCCTCCTTAATAACATGACCGGCCTTAGTAGTGATCAATGTCTATAAACGGCTACTACCTGCCATTGGAAAAAAAAAATTACGAATTGGTCTTTTATTCAACATAACACACACATTTTCCATAAATAGTTAAAATGCATTATTCAGTTACAAGTGAAAGTACTTGCATGAACTATTTTCCATCATTGTTTCACGTAAGAACAAATAAAAGTACAATTTTCTTATGCACCTGTGATTGTCATATTATTTGGATTACGGTAAAG